GGCAACTAGTTTTGGTTTCTAAACTCAACCAACCCATAGCAAACCTGCCCAACACATCCTATTACTCAAATACAAAGTAAGAAAGGATGTAAACAAGATAATGATCAGCTACCAACATCCATGGACACATGTCCGGACCATTGTACAACAAGGGTAAACCCGGGATCGCTATAGGTGCCCAGGCTGTCCACACTGATAACAAGACAAGGGCTGCCCCCTGCCCAAACTCTGACTCTGCGATCTAGCTGAAGAAGAAGCAGCTCTCTGACCCCCACCCTTCTGCGGGCAAACTGAAACCTTGTGACCCAGCTGGCCACACTTGTAACAGGCAAACTCCCCCTGATTGCCTCTCCCCGAGCCTGCACTCGGCACTGGAAAGGTCGATCTAGAAACTGCACCCTGAGGCTGCTGAGGGTTATAACCCCTCTGTCTCCTACCATCACCCTGGCCATCTTGGCTCCTCTTGGAGCCCCTCTGCTCTTCCTCCTCTTCCTGCATCATAATTTCCATATGAGCAGCGGCATCTACCAGGTGTCTATACTCTCGGATGTAAGACCCACCAACTCTCAACTTGAGGCCCCGCCTCAACTTCCGCTCAAACTCATAGCAACGGCGTTCCTCAGACGCCACCAGTTCAGGTGCAAACCTGGACAGACTGGTAAAAGTAGCCTCAAACTCGGCCACTGACAAGCCCTGCTGTTTAAGCCGGCTAAACTGATCCCTCAGCTTCTCCCTAGCTGCTGCAGACAAAAACCTCTCCTAAAAAGCATTCACAAACGCCTCTCACGTACCACCAACACGAGCCTTCTTGTACTTCCAGCATTGACCCGCATCTCCCTTCAGTTGCAAGGATGCCAAGGTCACTTTCAGTGCTCCGTCCTCGATGCCAAGCATCTCGAACATCTTACTCATTTGCTCTAGCCACTCATCAGCCTTCAACGGCTCCTTCGGATCCACCCCCAATGGTTGCGGTCCCAAGTTCAGGGCAAACAATGTTAAAGAAAGGACCAGCTCACTCCTTTCTCTTCCCTCACTCCTTTCTCGTCCCACCTCACTCCTTTCTCTTCCCTCCATTCGGCCTGCTGACCCACTGGCTCGGCCACATTGGCCTGGCCAACTCCCTCCTGCACTGCCGGAACCTCCTCTGGTAACGGTCCTTCCTGCCTCGCAGGCCTACCACGCCTAGCACCTCTTCCTCATCCTGACATCCTAATAAAGGTGATATATAACATTAGCACATTCACAAATGTGCCAAAACCAAACACTCACGTCCTAATGCATGGACAACTGTAATTCACTCCACATAAGCACATAAACACATAAGCACTTACGAATTTCATTTCCGGATAATGATAGTCCCGAGGCGTTACTAGAGTTCCGGTTAGAAACAGCATTGATCAAGTGCTTTTCCAACAAGACTCCCAGAAACCCAAGGATCCAATCAACATCCTAGAAATTAAATCCCATACCCACATAGTCACATAAGCATCTCGAGCGAGGAATCCTTCGCTCGAGCGGTCTGGATTTTCTTCGCTCGATCGAGAACTTCTTGGCTCGAGCGAGAGTTTTCTGTGTCTGGTCGCTCGAGCGACCAAGTCTTCGCTCGAGCGAGAGTG